TTATGAAATATTTATATTTCTTTGGTAATTTATTCATTATGGAAATAAAGAGGCTATAATTATAATAGGTATTCGTGTGGAAACCTAATATTTAAACAATATGTGACATGAAGTTGGAAATTATGTAAAACGGATGCACAAAATTACAGGGGTCTAGTACCTACATATTTTGACCTATCATCTTAGAATAATAATTCGTTATTATAAGCCGGTCATTGTGACAATAAATGTCATTGTTTAGACATTTGTATTACAAAATTAAATTATAGTTTCAATATCACAGTATAATATTTGTTTTTGTTTTACTGGTTATTTATTATTTTGTATATGTATATATATATTATTATCTGTATATATATTTTACTAGTTTAAGTTTTATCATGCTTGTAAAAGATAACAATTTATTCATTCTTATTCTTTCATTCTCAAAATTTTTTTTGGCTCTACCACAGCTCTACATAAAATCCTTTGACAGTTTGTCTTTCAAATACATGACATTGGCGAAATTGTGGTTACACTCTACCACAAAGCCATTAACCAAAAGTTGAAGTTGAAGTTGACATTTGTATTGACAAATGTCTAAACAATGACAGTTAATCTAGACAATTGATAAAACAGGGCATTTTTAACGAACGAAATTCGACACAAGGAGATCTCTGGTACTATTAATTTGTTGTTACATAATATGTAACAGTCACATAAACTTTTGGCGGTTACCATAATAATATTTGAGGTTAGAAAAATGACTGCGTATGGTCTACTGTATTTTTAAACCTAAAAAATTAGTTATGTCTTGTGGAAGAAACGGGCAAAAATCTTCCAGGACCAATTCTTAAAATTAATGTACCAACTATAGCTAATAAATAAACAAATTGTACACATTCACACAACGCCATCTAGTCCCAAACTAAGCAGAGCTTGTACTATGGCTACTAGTCAACTGATATAAATACACATACACTTTTTTTTTAATACATACATCTTATAAAAAACAAAAATAGAAACACCTAGATCAAATCAAACATTAAATGTTCATGGACACAAATGTTTGACTTGAGCGGAAATCCAACCCGCGACCTTTGGAATAGCAGTCCGTTACACAAACCACTACGCCATCCGGTCGTCTTGTTGAAGTAACCATAACTAAGTTTGTTTGCTTACAGTTAGTAACCATGGATGCGCGAGTCAGACAGTACATCCTCCGAGCGTTTTCCCAAAGTAGGTTGGGGTCGGCTTTCCGTATAACTACGATACGGCTGAACTACGATCTCTTACGTGGCAAGTCTGCTATCAGACCTCCACAACCCAAGTACTAAGCGATATCGAAGTTCTGTAGAAGACTATTGACACACTTTTAAGGGCTCCAACTGCCTACAAAGATTGCCGTAGATGTTCGTATGGCAACTGGGACACAGAGACACGGAGGGGTCTCAATTTGTTAAGAATGGTCACCCATCCATAGACTAATCTGGCTAATCTTTAACAACTTAGCCAAGAGCCCCTTGTAGACGCGGGTCGCACTATGCGACGCAATAATTAAACAATTACCTACGATTTGTCAAGATTCATTTCCGATAACTTTTTCGTTCCGCAACAGTTGTCAGCTACTATCGTAAAATGACAAAAAGCATAAAATTCTTGTTCACTTAGCTTTAGCTGCTGTTTCTTATTTTTATTACTAGAATTCACCTTCTGAGCGCCTAATGACAAAAGTACAGGAGAGCAAGAGAAAGAGTCGGGGTCTCAAAGTTATCGTGCACATATAGTATGTCTTTAATTATATTTAATACACTTCTCAGAAATGCAGCCTTCAACGACTCCACGGATGGCGTAGTTTTTAAGCAGTCACCTCGTCACTTCCTACGGCGCTGAGTGTTGTGGGACAACACTTTGTGCGATCCACGTATTGTTGTTCTGAGTCTGGGTGTTCTTATGTCTGTAAAGACCCCCGCGACACAGGATATATACCTAGGGCGCGTGTTGTTTACTTAATAAATAAATAAAATATCATAAAAATAAATAATTACTCATACGTATAATATAAATTATAATAGTCACGTATATCAACAATAATCACGTGTATCAATAAAAAAATTATGCATGTGTATGTCATCACGCCAGCAAAATAAGAAGTGTCATCCATACTTCCACACTTTCATGCTTCCATACTTTTTATCTTTATATATATAATTATTCTGTGAGTGTGTATGTCACTGAACTTCTCTCAAACGACTGGACCGATTTTGATGAATTTTTTTGTGTGTGTTCAAGGGGATCTGGGAATGGTTTAGATTCACAATTTTGTCCGCTGGACAATGTTTTTTTAATTAATTTTTAGTTTTTTAGTAGTTGTTGATTTTGGAATGTTTTACATTGGATCAGACAGACGGCGCTACCATCGCAGTGTCAAATTTGTCAGGACAACGTCTGTCGGGTCCGCTAGTATGTTATAAATGTGAACGTGAGTTTTTTTGTTTATTACGCTTTCACGCCTAAACCACTAAACTGATTTTAAAAATTATTTCACCAATGGAAAGCTACATTTTCAGCGAGCAACATAGGCTTCTTTTTACTACGATAACCGACATAAACGCGGGCAGAGCCAAAATATTATTTCTGAATGTTTTCGGGTATTTTATATCTGCCGTGTTTTTTTTTATCTTATAGAAAAAAAGCATGTAAAGAAAAAGTTAATTCATCACAAGAAAATTCAACTAACTAATTACTTCTCGAAGCGCTTCGTCGATTTTTTGAACCCACATAACCTGAGTTTGTAATAAATTCGACCCAACAATTTTCTTGTCGAGAGAAAATGAATAGACTTAGTACGTAAGCATTATATAAATACCTGTTATGAAAATGCTTTGTTGATCGCGTCATATTTACGTCATAAAAAGTGTTAATCTAGGAAATCAATCTGAGCACAATTTAATTACCTAATCGTTGATTGTTTAACAAACTGATTACTGAATTTTTTAGAAATATCGCACCAGAGCCGAACGGCTGGAACATTGGGCAAACGTTGTTTTTTTTTCAACATTTTAAAATGAAAGCTTCTTTAGGCGCATTGGGCATTTTTGAACAACAAAGAAACGAATGTATTTTTGAGATGGGAAAAAACCATTGAACTCGCGACACTGTTACCGTTACCGAAACCTCTGTACGAGTATATAAGGACATATATTGGCCTCGTTTACACGAGAGTCGAGTTTGGGTTGAAATACATTGATAATATAACTATGTTTATATTATGTATATACGTACAACATAGATATGTTTTCATGTCGGAACTTTTCGAATCGAAAAAAAAATCTGCTTTAATTAAAAAAAAAAGTTTTTACTTCTGTCGGCACTCCCGGAGTGTTTTTTTTTAATCAAAGTACAATTTTTTCTGACAACTATCGGCAAAAAAATATATTTTAAATGCTTATTATGAGGTTCAAATGTCAGAAAAGTAGACTTGCAACGAATATTCGGTTACTATTCGGTATTCGGCCTATTCGGCTGCTTTTATTATATTCGGCCGAATACCGAATATCTACATATTATTCGGCCGAATACCGAATACTTTAATAATATATTTTGTCATTCAGAAATAATTGGTAAAATGAAAAATTAAAATCGATTGATTACGTATATATTCATATTTTCATTTCTGTTATAATCATTTAAGTAGTCATTGGTGCATAACCAAGTACATAATCATCTTCTGAATTGGAAAAATAGAGGATTTTATGTATTTGAATTATTGTGGTAATCAAAATTTAGAAGGGTAAGGTTCTTATTTCTTTTATAATCATTTATTAAGTACTCATTGGTACATAAAACAGGTACATAATTTAATTCACGTCTGTACAAGTTTTCGGCGCTAAAACTTTTGCCTAATATTCGGCTATTCGGTCAGGGGCCTCGCCGAATATTCGGTATTCGGTATACTGCCGAATATACTATTCGTTGCAAGTCTACAGAAAAGTTAAGACAGGTAAAAAAAACTAGTATGTCAGTTAGTCAGTTATGCTTTTTGAAAAGATAATATGCTGTGGTATTATTTCTGAGGTATTTTGACTTAGGGCTCGTGCAGCGTGCAAGCGACAAAACATTAGTCTTGCAGCGACCAGTCGCCAGAGGTAAATTGCGACTGCGACGACTTTTTGTTTATCTATTTTTTTATAATAATTGATGCAGGAGACTTAAAAGATGGAGTTCGTAACCGCCCGTAAATCTTATCTTTCTTCTCATCATCTTGATGACCTAAATCCAAACAAAATTTACCTACTGAAAAAGTTCTGATACTATCCATTCATCAAACAAAACAATAAGTATGTTCAGTACTAACTCCGAATAGGAATGAATTATGATGATAATATGAATTGCCATCGTCCGAATTGACTCGTCCGAATTTATGTTAACTAGTCGGATAAAGTTATTAAACTTAATCCGCCCCTTGTACATATTTTATATATTCCCTTTGATAAACATTATATCCGCATACACATTTATATCCGCTTTCCTGTGAAATGAGTACAAATGTCACTTTATCTTACTATTCATGAATATCATTTATAAAAAAGTGCAAAAGAATTAATAGAAAATGAGTTAATACAAACTTCACATTAAACAAAACGAACAAATATTTGTATTCAAGCTTTTAAAGGGCTGTTCCTCAAGGCATAAATTATAAATATTTTTTTAGTTGAAGAAGAATGACGTTTTGCTCATTAAATGAAAATTCTACCGTAGGAACCAAACCTTTTTACTTACCGTTTTCTCTATGTATTTATTTAGTCTCGCAACATCCAAATTTATAATGTCAAGTTTTTATTGTCGCAAAAATTTCAGTCATTATTTTCGTATTTTTATTCGTGACATCAATTAAGATAAAGATACAAAATAAATCAATCAAAAACATTCTGTGAAAGTCTACAGTGTAAGCCCGTTGTTTTGGCTGTGGTTACTAAATTGTTAGTGATAACGTGTGCGAAGGTCTGCATAAATGAATTATGTCGTTGAGGTCGAAGGCCCTGGCACTAGTAGAGGTGCTACTGAGGGTGCCGCCTCTGTTTGTGGTGGATGAGTTCCTGAAGATCAGTTTGGGACTGCCGGTGTCGAGTGGTGAGGAGGTGGCCATCCTAAGCAATATCACTGTGGACCACGTCGATATCACAGATTCAGAAGCAAATTATTACGACGCGAATTTCTACAACGCATTCTTCTTCACGCTCCTCAAGTTTTTCGTGTGCTGTATAGGTAAGCAACTTGTATGTTTCTGCCACTGGTGTTGCAATATTCAACTGGGAAATATGTTACTCAACTTTAAGGTTCTATTTCGAAATTTTCCGTACATTGTCGTGTCATTATGTGTAAACATATTTTTCTTTCACATATTGTCAAGACCAGTTAGTCCTACTTACATCACAACATACAATTTTATTTTATTTAAGCTTCTTGAAGTCGGTTAGATTTCTATTCTAAACACAAATATTTAATTTGCATATACATAATTGTATTTAGGTTATATTTTTTATGTGAACTATGTTTCTTGTTTACATATGTATGCACACAAACATTTTTTGTACACATTTTTTTAAATAACAGTTTATATTCATTCAGATAAAAGCAACATTTTGACAGTATTATTGTAAATATTGTATATATTATGTAGTATTCAGAATTGCCCCATGGCATATGTATTTCCATTTATTATACTTATATTTATAGCCCCTAAGTATTGAAAATATGCCCATTTTATGTCTTTTTAAGGGTTTAATTTTACCACAAGTTATTCAACCAAGTATTTAAAACATGAAGTTACTGATCTGCTAATGTTCATATTAAATTGCGACATTACCGTCTCCTAAATTGAGGATTTGCCTCATCATAAAATATCTAAGTATTTTCTATCAAAATTTGATTTTTATGTGACAACACCTGAATAATAATAAGTTAGATGCTTCACGTGGTCCTCTAATGTTATAACAGGACTGATAAACAAACTTCATAAATCATCATCATCATAAACGGGTTGGTACAGGGATTTTTGTTTAGTCTTTCTTCTCTTTAAAATGCTGATGTCTGTGTGTGTGTTTACTCCCTTAGTTTGCTCTTACGATGAATAAGAATACTTATATATTATGCCACTGCAACTTATATATTACGATAATGCAGCGCCATAACTTGAGACCTGAACGCGGTGACGTCACAAACACACGTTTATACAGAGTGCACAAAAAGTACCACTACAAGCCTCCGCAGACGACTTAGTCTATGCAATTTTTTATGAAAAAAATAACATAGATAAAGTGTTGTACTCAGAACAACAGCTCTTTATATTAATCTTTTATTATCATACTGAGCCTAAAAAATTCAATATTGCTTGCGTGAATAAAACTACTACCCTACGGGTATGAAAAAGTAGTAACAAAATTCAATATATTTAATTCAGAATTGTAACTAGTTATATAATGTAAATGTGTCTCTATTTCCAACACAATCAACAACAAAATGGAACAGACAGTCTAATAACAATACAATAACAAGATTAACAACAAAATGTAACAGACAGTCTAATAACAAAATGATAACAAGATTAAGAACAAAATGCAACGGAAAATCTGATAACAATTGAAATGCGACGTCGTTACGTGACGTAGGCCAGTACGAAACCAATATGTTAGTAAAAAATTGTATTTTCTACAATACAACAAGTCACAGGGGTAGCAGCCGGGCAATCGCATTCCAGGCAAGTCGCAACTTATAGCGCACAGATTATAAATACAAATTCATCATAAATAAATAACATGCATTCATAGAATAAATAACCATGCTCATCACAGAGTCATCTCTTTTGTGTATAAATTATGTTCAAAACTACCTAAGCGCTGTACTCTATAGGAGAACTAAAAATCAGTGCTAAAACCACATTGTAGTTTATATATTTGTTTACATATTTATTGGTTTAGACATTAAATTTACAATTTACAAGTAAGATATTTAGTAGTAGTAGTAGTAAGATAGTAAGTAGGCCAAAACCTCCTTTCTAAGGAGAGGCCTATGTCCAGCAGTGGACTAGTATAGGCTGTTGATGTGATGATGATGATGTGATATTTTACACTTTGTGTACGTGGCCAGTATCTGAGCAATAAGTACCACATTCTTCAAAAATGGGGTACTTATAGCTATAGAAAGTTTACATGTGAGTGAGTTATCCCATAGTAAAGAAAGGGACTATTTTAAAAACCAATTTAATGAAAATGTGTCTTATGTATCGTCTCAAAAACGTATGTAGACTGTAGTTATAGATAGATATGCAATAGCAAAAACAATTATTGTTTTGTCAAATACAAAGTAAAATAAAAATATCAAAATTCTTAGAGCATTAATAGAAATCTATTATATGCCAATCTACAGCCATCCATTTTAAAGGTGTTGAGCCGTATGAGAAGAGAGCACAAACAAATTCACCGCCACTCTTTTTTGGCTTCACATTCATTTGGCTTTAATGAGAAAAAAAAGCGCCAGTTTATTCAGTGTGAATTTATTCATTATAAAATGATTTACAGCATATGCACTTTAAAAAAGCATTTTGATTATTCACCATTTTTATTTTAATATTCAAACTCAATATTATATTTATGATATCAAGTTACAATAATGTTTTATATCTAAATTTCTACAAGCAAAGACAAAGTAAAAGTACAGTGATACTCTTTTAAGATGAAAGTGGAGGAGCTTTTATTGAGTGAAATGGCAGATTCAAGAAGCTATTAGTTCATCTCCTAGGATTATTATATTTTATGAATATATGAATATGTATGCATGTATGTGTATATATACTGCTGTGTATATTCAAAGGTCAAAATAGTTGGTATTTAATAAAACCTCTATCATTACCCCGCCATAAGTGCAGCTACTTTATTATTTTTCTTCGTCACCCAATCGGTGAGAATTAAAGCCATTAAAGCCATGGAAAAGTGATTACTTTCAAGTTTTTTTTTCTTTTTCTTAGACAAAGTGGTGCCAGTGCTTTACGGGCAGGCATTAGGGGGGGGGGGGGTCTAGATCTTGATAAAAGCTGTTCCTGGATCCCTACTATTTTAGGTACACAATACAGTATGGCACACAATGTGGTATTAGACTCACCACCCCACCGCAAAACTCCAGTAACGGAAGGGTATGATACGTTACGGGTATGGTACGTATACACACACAAAAAAATTTAACAGCCTTTTCTATGGCTGACATACAATTAGCGATTCACATCTTAAATCATTAGCTTTAAACATTAAATCTTTTATAAATCAGTAATTGCATTAATATAACTGTTAGTCACAGGTTTATCTTCATTGAATATTCTGATAAAAGTTTTGGATTTTAGGTAAATAGATATCTTTATTTGCCTTTAACTTATCTACAAACATTTGAGCAAGTCACCATTGTCATTACTTTTTAAGAATTTGTCAGCAAGTCGTTAATAATAAAATTATTACTTGTATATTTATAAATAAACAGATAGGTACTCTTTATTGCACACCATAATTTGGAAACATACAATGTAGAATACAAACAAAACAAACAGTGATACGATGGGCGGCCTTATCGCAGTCTGCGACCCCTCGGGGTCGAATACGGTTTCCCAGGGGTCGACATAAACGAAAACTGATTTTAGGGGTCGATGATCTCTAAAAATCGGCCCCTAATTATGTAACAAGTAGTTAACAAGTTCAGTTCCTATGTTAACTTTCAAGATACTGCATTAGTTGTGTTACGTATGCAATGTTGTTATAAGAATGACTAATATTTTAGTAGGAAGTATCATTGTTGTATTCTCAAAATACTTAACAAGTCGATAAGCACACACTCATTTTTCTATCTGGGGTCTAAGGCATCAGTTCGTTTTAGAAAAGGGGTCTCCTGCTCTAAATAGTTTGGGAATCCCTGCTTTAGACTGACTATTCTATTGTGCAATATCCCTGTCACGCCATTGTATCTCAACTATCTTTCCTTTCCCGATTTACCCATCTTATCCTTAATGATGTCCGTGTGGTGACGGATTAAGAATACGCAATGTCACCACCCCTATTCATCCCGTGGGTGTTGTAAGAGGCGACTAAGGGAGCAAACTACGTAGGACATGAGCACTGCAAAGAAAAGGAAAACTTGAAACAAACCCTATAACAACCCGTTTGGCCAGGGTGGTATGGTAAGCCAAAACCTCCTTTCTCTGAAGTGCCCAGTTGACGGGAATACGCTTGTATACAGTTAGTAAAAGCCGATTATTTTAGTACCATTTTCGTAATAGGGCTTTTGCAAACTGTTGTCGTTAATTACGCCGCTGCTTACGCCATAGTGGAAATAAGTGTAGGTATGGGTATATATATTTGTATATAATTAAAATGATGTGTAAAAAAATCTTGCGTGTGTCTAGAACTATGTAGGGATAATTCTCATTCTTCTATAAACTCATATCGCGTCTAAAATATTCAAACATTGTATTAATTACTTTTCTGTCGAGTTAGATCAGTCACATATTATTAAAAATTCATACAATTTATCAAAAAGAAATTTCCAAAATTGATTTTGTTCGACCGTGACAGGACTCGAACCTGCAATCTTCGGATCCGAAGTCCGACGCCTTATCCATTAGGCCACACGGTCTTGTTGATGAAGGCTCTATTAGCGAACCATATCTGGCGGCTGACCTACTTACAGAAGTTTACTCGGCGCCGCGGCGCGGGGTATGAGGGTTGTTTTTTCATCAAATATGTATCAAACAGATTTATCTTTTGTTACCTTATTAATACCACAATAAAGATGAAAATAAAAAAAAACTATTTCAAACATTTAATATATTTATATCTCTGCTAATATCAGTACGTTAATTAAGGAAGGTTGTATGTTTTATAAATATAAAATTGATGTATAAAAATAAACCTAATTACCTAATTAAAATACTAATAAAAGTTATTACTCGGAGTAGGAATACGTTGTAATGAACTACATAGACCTCGAAATTACATTTTTTGAGTTAGCCAGTTTCGAGTTTCAGTGTTAAAATTTAAATTAAAATGGCAAATGGCCTCCTAAAATTAATAATGTTTTTAGGAGGACACGTTATATTCGTACTGCACGCACAAAATATTTCTTCCGTAACCGTTTATGAACGGTTCTATTAATGCATTTCAGAACAAAACATACATTTCCTGTGGTATGATATTCCTTTACCTATATTTACCTTTTTGACGTAATTT